GTCAAAGGTAGGCTGCGAGACGCCCGGCAGCCAGGCCGTTAAGGACGAGGTAGGAGAGGAGTGAGAGCGTTTTCCTACGGCGCGTCTCTTGTCTTCCCTCCCCACCTCGTTTTTTGGCCGGAAACCCCCTTTCCTGTGCGTCCCTCTTGGCCCCGTCGTGAATCCTAATTCCTCTTCTGTCCCCACCCTGTCTCAGCCGCCAGCGAGAGGGACTCGAGTGAGGCGCTGCTGGAGGATGCTGTGAAGAGACAGGGCTTTCAAGGTGAGGGCCTGGAGGCATCTGGGGGGGGTTGAGGCAGAGTCCCAAGCTCGGTGTGGGGACTGTGTAGAGCAGATGTGGGAAGGGGGTGGCCACAGGGCACCAGGACTCGTGGGTTGGCAGAGGAGGAGTTGGGGTGAGGGGATGGGAAGGACAGCCAGTCAGGAGGCGAGGCACACACTTGGGGTGGCCAGTCCTGTAGGTCCAAGGAAGAGGCTGGATGGTGCCCTAATTAACTGTCTTTGCTTATCTCACCGTCTGACCTTGCAAGATGTGTAATTAAGTCTTGTAAGCCTCAGGGTTTGCCCTTTCTGGGTTTTTTTTTCCACCTGGATGAGGTTTATACAAACACTGCTCCTGCCTGGTGCACACCAGCAGCCAGCACGGTGGCTCCATCAGGAGAAGGAGCAGTGGAGCTCCTGGGACAGAGCGTCCCTGTTCCCTGGGCCACGGGGGGCTGGGAGGGTTCCCAGAGTGGGCTGAAGGCTCGTCAAGGGCTTTGGCTTTTCAGAGAGGCTTTGGAGTGAGTTTCATTTGAGCGCCGGTAATTATCGCAACTGAATCTTTGATTTCATGCAGCTTTTCTTCTCAGCAAACAGGCAGAGGGAAAAAAAAAAACATATTTCTGTTTAGATTATTTTTAAGGACTTTGAATGGCCCTCTCCAGAGATTAGCTAATTGCAAGATAAGGACTTTCCTATAATTAGAAAATGGCATTGCTTAAAAGTCACAGAGTGCCTTTTAATTTACCAGCAGAAGTCCATAATTGTTTCTTTATTTTACAGAAAATTATGATGCCAGGCTTTCCAGAATAGACATCGCTAACACGCTGCGGGAGCAAGTCCAGGACCTGTTCAATAAGAAATACGGTGAGAAACTGGGCCAGGGCTGGGGGGTTGGGTTTAGTCCCCCCTTATTCCCTCCTGATTATTACTCCCCATCCCTCTCCTCCTCACTCCTCCTTGCCAGGTGCTTTCTCTCACCTCCCCCTTGAACAGTTGGCACCTCGGGGGGCTGGGCAGGGACCGGTGGCTCAGGGAATTGGGGCTTTTTGCTGCAGGCTCTTATTGCCTGCTTGGCTCCCACACAGCACAGGGGAGCCTGTGGTGGAGAGTGTGCTGCAGCCCTTTCCTTTGCCTGCCCTTCCCAGCCATATTTTGGTGGGTTTTTTTCCTTTTAAAATTCCCCCATGCCATGACAAACAGTGATGGGAAATTCATCAGTGGAGAACTGTGGGAGCATGACAGGAGCTTGGGAAGGGAATAAGGAAGGGCCTCGTAGGAGTGTCAGGGGATGAGTAAATTCTGCTCATCCTGTCCCAGGGCACCTCCCCAGGCTCTGCAGGACACTCCCATCACCTACCTGCTCCAGCATGTTTTTTATCAAGCAAGGCAAGGAGATGCTGTTATCACCATCTTCTAGGCAGGAGTGAGACTTAATGTAGGGTCCTGGGTACCCACAAGAGCAACAACTAAATGTGTCACCTCAGTCCTGCAGCCAGACCTCAGAGAGGGAAGATGCCCATGGAGTTATCTCAAAAGAACATCCCAAAAGAGCTGTGCCTTCCATTCCTCCCACTGCCCTGCATGGGTGTCTCCGTGCAGGATGGTGCCTCTCCTCCCCCCCACCAGCTCCCCTGCACACACGGCTGCTTGGGACCCCTCTGCTCCCATCCTGGAGGCAACCTGGGAACGTTGGTCCCTGTGGTGCCTCGAGCAGCCTGCTGGGGTCACACTGTGCAGTGGCAGGGCCTGGGCTGCAGCCAGAGCTCTGGCATCTTATACCTCTGACTTCTCACCTTCTCTGCCAGGTGAGGCCTTGGGGATTAAATACCCCGTGCAAGTGCCATACAAGCGGATCAAGAGCAACCCGGGGTCGGTGATTATCGAGGGGCTGCCCCCCGGGATCCCCTTCAGGAAGCCCTGCACCTTTGGCTCCCAGAACCTGGAGAGGATATTGGCTGTCGCTGATAAGATCAAGTTCACCGTGACGAGGTGAGTGGGGAGAGGTGCTGGAAGCTGAGCAGGAGGGGGAGAGGAGGGAGCCCCCCCCCAGTGCACCCCCAGCTCTCCCAGCCCCATTAGGGCAGGGCTCTAAATACCATAAATGCCCCCAGCCTCCTTCAGTCAGCAGCTGATGGTTTGACAGAAAGGAGGGGATTGTAAGAGAGAGGCTCCTGCCCTTCCTGGGCAGCAGACAGGAGGGAGTGGGGAAGGCACTGGCAGGAGAAAATGGGGATGGATGTGACAGAAAGAAATCCCAGCCCTGTTTCTGGGAGGCCTGAGGCAGCACAAACGTTGCTGAGTGTATTGCTGGTGCCAGGCTGTGCTCGGGGTCCTGCAGCACTTGGGATGGCACCAGGCACTGCCTGGTCCTGGCAGTGTCCTGTGGGGCTTGCAGCCAAAGGGGGTGGACACAAGTAGGGAGGAAAAAGCACTTTATCACTGTATCAAGGTGAGACAGGGGGAATAAATGGGTTTAAGAGGGGTTCCATCAGCCTCTTGCTGGGCCACAGTGCCCATCTTCTCACCGCCGGGCCACGTGCTGCCCCAGGCAGGACCACGGGGAGCCTGTCCCTGCAGAGCCTTTCATCTGACATCTCTTTTTCCTTATTTTTCACAGGCCTTTCCAAGGACTCATCCCCAAACCCGGTAAGAGATGCTGCCTTTTTGCCTGAGCAATGCATTGGCCCAGTGTTTGGTGGCAGTCAGGGAGCTGTAAGCTGTGAATGGCAAGCAGTCATTTTATCAGCTGAAGGAAGGTTGCCCCTGACCTCACTTTCCTGGCCTTCCCACTTTGGTTTTGCTGTCGTCTGGGGCATTTGTTGAAGTTCCCTTGAGCAGGAGAGCTGGCCTCAGCATCACCCATAGGTACTGCTGCTGCTGCCTTGAAATGATGGTGTTTTTCAGGAACTAACCCAGGGCAGAGCTCTCAGTTCTGTATTTAAGAAAACATCCACTTTCTTCAGCATTCTCCTAAAATAAATAAGTGTTGCAGTGAGCTGGCAGGTTCAGTGGGGAGGAGGGGTCATGGGTGATGGACCAGAGGCTCTGTCTCAGGCTGTGGCACCGTGGCACCTCTCTGGGTTGTGGGCATCCTGTGTGTGGATACACGGGGGGAGCTGGGGGAGAGGGGAGGACAGGGTGTCACTGTCCCAGAGCTGTGTCCTGCCCCGTGGGTCACTGCAGCAGTTCTGTCTTTTGCTGCCTAGAAAACAGAGCTGCCACCAGGAACATGGGTGAAAACCTGTCTCAGTTTTAAATGTCTGTAATTACAGCTGCTGGAAGAGCACAGATGGGTGCAAGAGACGTTGTCATTTTTATTGATGGCTTCCCATTTCTTTGGCCAGCCTCCATGGGGATGGCACAGTTTAGGGAAGAAAAATATGACAGAGAGGAAAACATTTATATGCCCTTGTTTGGAACAGGCAGAAAGGTGTTAGACACCCAAGAGGCCTCTAACAAAAGGTGGAGTGTCTGAGAAATTCAGCCCAGGGCATGTCCCTGCATCCACTGTCTGCATCCCCACATGTGGCCCAGCCAAGGTGATGGGTTAGTCCCCTGAGGCCTCCACAGACTTGGACCATTTGACCACTTGTGACAAGGCTGGCTCGCCTGGGCTGGATTTCAGACGAGCCCTGGGTGAAGTGCAGGCCCTGCAGAGCTCTGGTTTTCCCCAGCACTGTGAGACCAGAGCGAGCTGAGGGTGTAGCTGCTCCTCCAGCCACATCTTGTCTCCCCGTTGCTGCGCCGTCCTCGGAGTAATTCCGTTAAGAGAGGCTGATCTGACACAAATCACACCATTAACAAAGGAGCCCATCAGAAGGCAAATACTTCAACCTGCCAGCTGGCTGGGAAACGCAGCCTCAGAAATAGAGATGTAGAGGAAATTGATTTTCTTTGGAATTGATTTTTTTTCCCCCTCCTTCCCCAGCTGAACGCTCCCACCACGGGCTGGCCCCTGCTAGCACAAACCCAAAGATAGGTTTTATTCTGGGTATTGTGGTCCCTGAGGGGGTTTGGGAGGAGGTGGCAGCACCCCTGCTGGGCTCAGGGCTTCAGGCCTTCTCCTCCCACAGGGTTTTAATAAGAGCAGGCACAGGTGAGGGGATTTTCTTACTTGACATCTCAATTTGTTATAGACTATTTCATATATTTGCTAAATCTTCAGAGACAATTCCTGGACTTCTGTTTTCTAATAGTCAGGCTACCACCAGAATGGATCCTGGAGAAAACATTGTTTGTATGTTGCCCCCCAAAAATCCCTGTGGACAGCAATTAACTTCTCATCTGCTTTTCCACCCTATTACACCAAAGTGGATGGTGGCAACACAGTGGTGCAGCCACTGCCTTGGCTTTGATTGCTTTTCATCTGCCTTAACAAAATTAATTATTTCCAACTCACCATAGATCATTAAAAATTTAACTTTGAGAGTGTTCTTTTTTACCCTAATCTTGTGTAGTGAAGTCCTGCCATGTAAAATGAGCAGGATTTCGGGGGCTGGTTAAATGAGGCTGGTTTTTGGAAAAGAGCAGCAGCAGAAGTGGGTGCTTGACATTCAAACAAAATTAGTGAAAGTCTCTTTTATTTTGTAGAGGAGCATTAAAATGAAAGCAATAGTTATTCCCAAGCAGGGTGGCATTGCAGGGGCATCTAGAAGCTGGAAAGCCCAGGAGATGACTCTAAATATGAGGGAAGTTATGGGGTTTGTGGATCATTTTGGCCAAAAATTACATGAAAAGTACACATTTTAATGGAAAAAGGAAATTTAACATTTTTTTTAGCATCACTTTGGATTGATTTGAGTTGTGTCTAGGTTAAATAATGGGATTTAATTTGTTTAAACAAGTTGTGCACTTTGTGCATTGCAAAGAGCATCCCAAATAACCACAGGACCGTGGAGGACCAGCCTCCTTATCTCTCTTTTTTGGGGACACAGATGTTTTTAAGCACGACAGAAACAGATAAAAGGATTTCAGTATCATCTGTCCTTTTTTTCTCAACATAATCTGTGAATTCTCTGTTGTGCTATCTCCCTGTGATGGGTCGTGGGGAGGGGGTGAAGCTGTTGGTGCAGAGGTGGCTGGGGGGGGGTGGTGTGCCTTGTAGAAGAATGTGGGATTTGGGGGGGAAGAATGAGGCTGGTTTTGGGAAAAATAAAGCTGGGGGTGCTCCCCAGTGCCCAGAGGAGGTCAGTGGCTGCAGAGAGGATTCTGCAGGGAGGTTTTGCAGCCTTCCCAGGGTGGGACGGTGGCCCCGAGGTCACCAGTGCTTCTGCCAGCACTTGACCTGGGTGGCTCCCTGGGGGCTTTGACCCAGGAGCACAACCCTCCTTGGCATCCTGAGATTTTTCCTTTTGATTCCCAGCTTCTCCTCTCCCCACCGCTGGGCTCTGCTCTGTGGAAAGGGACTTCAAAACCTCTTTTTGAAAGCAAGATGATCTTTTGGCATTAAAACAGAAGTGAGCGAGCAGGGGTGAAGCTCCAGTGCTATAAACACAGCACTTGTCCTTTCTTTTCTTCTTTCCTGAGGCACAAAGATACAAAACAGGCTTAATTTGAGCCTTTGGTAAAAAAAAAAAGTAAAATATCAAGCATAAGTAATCTAGCACACACACACAAACTCTCTCTGTATGTTAATTTTTGTGTGCTTTGATTGAAAATGTTCACCAGCTCCATCTGTCTTATTCCCCAAACTCTCCACCACCCTGATAGATTATTTCCCATACTCCAATTAATAAAGTAGGGCAGGCAGTGTTCTTTAATTAAAAAAACCACACATCCAGGCATCCTTTTTATATATATAAATGGGGTTTTTATATATATATATGGGTTTTTTTAATCACAAGAACACAACCCCTCTCAAGACTTTGATGAGCCTCGTGCTGGAAACTCCTAGCAAGAAAAAAAAGCAAAGAGGAAAGTGCTTGTGATGGGAGCTGAGCACATCTTGCTCCATCCCCAGGTTGCTTTTTGAGGTCCCTGTCCCTCTTCCTTCACCCCCAGCCCTGACGTTTAACCCCCATGGGAGCAGCCAGGTTATTTTTCCTTCTGATCCACCTCCCTGTTATCCAGGGTGATGATTTTATTTCTGTCTCTTCAGCTGGTCACTGTTTCTAGTCTGAAGGTGAAAATCCAGGCAGTTAGTGTGAATAGCTGTGGAGCTTCAGTGCCTCTTTACAAGCATCTCCACGATTCAAATCACCTTTTTCTTTGCCTGTTTTCCATCTCCTTTTCCCTTTCTCCTGCATGTGTGGCATCCTTCTGAGGGTTTGAAGGCAGCACCATCGCCCAGCTCATCCCAGCTCTCCTGTTTGCTTTGCTCCTGCCTCCATCCTGCTCCCCACCAGCCTTGGATCCTGCCCTGTCCTCCAGAGCCCCCCAAATTCCCCTTGGTGCTGCTCCATCCCAGCTGTGCTCCAGCCCTTGGGGCTGTGCTCCCTGCCTCCCAGTACAGCAGCTGTGAGCCCAGTGGGATTCCTCCCGTGGGATGGAGGTTGCTGGGATGAGAAATCAAAATTCTCTTTCTTAATCAGCATGGTTTCATAACAGCACCTTGAAATCTTCACCTGAAACTTGGAGTTGCTGCCAAGCAAAGGAAATGCTGTGCTGCCCTTCCTGAACTGCTTCTGATGCCTGTTGGGAAGATGCTGCTGGTTGCTGCTTTTCCTCACTGCCTGCCTGTGCTCCTGCCTGTGCTCCTGCCTGACAGGAGCTGTGCCAGGACCTCCTTCCCTCTTGGCTTGCACTCTAGCTTGGCTCTCTCAGCACTGGTGCAACCCACCTGCATCTCTTCCCCTATGCACTGCAGATTTGCCTGAATATTTGGCACGGTGGGTGCTGCACACGGGGTGCCCACATGGGCAGGTTGTCACCTGGTGACTCAGGTCACCCGGCGATGGGCAGTGTCACCTATTTCCCAGCTGGGCCCTACAGGGACAGGATTTGTCCACGTGCAGAGCAGGGTCCCATCCAGCTCCTCCTGCCCATGGAGCAGACCCTGGCCCTGGCCCCTCGCTGCTGCTGTTCCCCAGGAGATTCATTTGTTTTGAATATCACTCATCACTTCGGAGCCAGCGGCGAGCAGTGGCCTCTCCTTGGGGCTCCCTGTCTCTCCCATTCCCCCCACTGCTGCAGAACTGACAGAGTTTCCCCATTTGCTTTCCATCTGCTTTACCCCAGGTTGTGTTTCCCCCCTTCAGTGTGGCACAGCCAGCGCTGCCTCAGCACGTGCCCTGATTCAGCTGCACCTCCCTGGGCACGTGTGGCCCTCGAGCTGCCCAGGAGTGGGGTGCAGCTCAGGGGATGCTCTCATGGGCTTGAGCACCTTCCAAAACAGGTGATTTCATGGTGGAGAGCCCCCACCCACCCAGCCCACCAGGCTATCGTGTCGCTACCAAAGGCATCTCTGCGCCAAGGGGCCTCGGGACTGGAGGAGTTTTAAGCTGCCAGGGTGTCATCCTGGGTTTTGCTTTTGTTTGTGACCAAGAAACCAAGCTGCAGCACTCATGGCTCTCTTTTTCTTTCTCTCTCTCTCTCTCTCTCTCTCTCTCTTTTTTTTTTGTCTCCTTTTAACTTGTGCTGTAGCCCCTAGACGGATAACATCACTGGAAAAAGCCTACGCTGCCTTGAATGGTACGTAGCTCAGTTGATGCATCGTAGATGGTAGCAGACAAGAAATGCTCTTGCCTTTTAATATGGGAATGAAAATGTCTTTAAACCCCCAAATTTCAGGTATTTTTTTGTTTCCCTCTCTGCTCTGTTTCCCTGTGATAGCGAGAAGTGAATGCTGCAGGATGTGTTTCACAGGGTTTTGGTGTCCTTATTAATCCTCTCTGCGTTTCTAAGCACCATTGCTGCGGTCCCTGGGTGTCAGGGCCAGTTCTGCTCCAGCCTGCCACCTTCTCCTCAGCTCAGCCACACAGCCTTGCAGTTCATTTGTTACAAATCCCCCTTGCCATCCACAAGCAGAGCTTGCACGGATTCGGGCTGGGGTTTTTTTGCTTGGCTGTGGCACATCCCCTGGGCCAGGGTGGGTGTGCAGTCGCGTAGGCTCTGGGGATTTAACATATGTACTGATATCCAGGAGTAAAGAAGAGCTTGCCTGCCTCTATCCCTGGCAGGGCACGGAGTATCTCCAGCAGATCCAGCCCCAGCCCCATCTGCTGGGATTCTGGCTGCATGTCTACATGTTAATTGCCTGCTCCCACAAGTTTACAGCTCTGCTTTGAAAACATTTGTATGTCGAGCTAATTTGAACTGTGTTTAAGCCTCACTGTGGAACAGCCTCAGTGCAGTCAGCAGGTTTATTTTGCATTGACACAGGGGTGCAGATGAGTTGCACCCACTGGAGCTGGGAGAGGGGAAGAGGATTTGTTTATCCTCTTCAGATTCAGGGCCAGATCCTGACTGCTGTGAGCAGCCCACCCTGGCTGAGTGTTTCTGTGCTGGGCAGTGGCTGTTTCCCTGATGCTGGTGGTGGTATGAGGAGCAGGAAGGCTCCAGCAGGTGCCTGGATGTGCTGTGGCCTCTCCACTGACATCAGGGCTCTGCACGTGGCAGCGTGAGCCCAGCAGAACCTTTACTTACCCATGAGATACCTTGGATTTGGGTTTGTTGTGGCTTTTTAAAGTCACTAGAAGACGCGGTGGTGTTGTGGATACTGTCGACCAACAGCAGACACCTAAAGTCTATTTTAAGTAACTACTAAACATGACCTGGTTTTCTAAAAACAAAAAATGCCAGGCTCCAACAAGTCCTGTTGGAGAAGAGCAAATGGTGCTTTAAAGATGTGACCACTTGCACAGAATTGCCTGTGGAGTGCAGGGTCCTCACTTCAGGCAGGTAGGACTGAGGGGAGAAAAACGAGTCAATCAACTGGCTACTCTTTTTTAATTAAAAAAAGATAAGCTAATGTAGAGCTGAAGCCAGCAACCTCCATAAACCTGTCCTGGAAGGACTCAGCACATCCCAGGGGTTCCAGTGACTTCCTTGACTCGATTATTTCCCAAACCCAAATGGATGAAGTCAAAGGGAGGTGGAGATGTCTCACCCAGAGCTGCCTGGGGATGGAGGGGCAGGTCCCTGGGAAGCAGCACCACTAGCTGGAGCCTCCTCTCTGCCTTCTCTGTTATGCATGCTCAGTTCCAGGTTATTCATGGCATTGGTTTTTGTCCTTGGATGGGAATTTGGGAGTCCTGCCCACTGTGATGTGGAAAACACCCCCTTGGGGATCTTGGTTCTTGCACTCGGGGCATGAGTGGAAAGGAAAGAGCTGCTGTGCTTTTCAGTCCCAGAGAATTAGAGTGAGAACACTTCATTTTGGTGTTTCTTTGTCTGCTACCATCTACACATCCAGACAGGTGTGTACGTACAGCCCAGAAACTGAGCAGCAATGACACTGAAGTCACAGAGGGAGCCCACAGGGGCTTGGGTCTTGAAGTCAGAATCAGTTCTCCTTGGCCACTCTGGTTTGATATTCTTCCCTTCTGTTTATTTTTTCTCTCCATCCCTTTCAAGCTGCTTCGTTGCCATTTCTGGATTTGAAGCACGACTTGGCCCTGTGGTTCCTTCACAGAAACTTCTCCCCTTTGGCTTGCCTAGTTCCATCCAGACAGAACTATTGTTTTTCAGGTGGAGAAGAGGCTTTTTTGAGGCTGTACCCTGCAGTAGCTGAGGGTGGAGATTGGAGGGTGTCAGCTTCTCCCCAGGATCCTCAGCAGCAGGGCTGTTTTCTGTGTGATTTCTGCTGGGGTGCTGAGTGCTGGGACCCTGTGCAGGGAGTCAGCAACTCGTGGCAGGTCTTCAGCTTGTGTTTCAAACAAAACTGATCATAAGATCACTTAAAACTGATATCAAAATCATGTCATTGCTCAAAATCAAATGAAATAGCTGCAGACTGGGGATGGAGGATGCTCGAGTCCCTCAGGCTGAAGTCTGCAGTGCTCACTTTGATGTTTTCAATAATGTGCCAGCCTGGGTGGAGAGATGCTGGCCCAGGTTGCCCAGAGAGGTGGTTCAGGCCCCATCCCTGGAGACATTCAAGGTCAGCCTTGATGAGGCTCTGAGCAGCTTGATCTAGTTGGAGATGTCCCTGCTCCCTGCAGGGGGGTTGGATGAGGTGATCTTGAAAGGTCCCTCCCAACCTGAACCCCTCCATGATGTTCTAAACTGCTTGCCTTGGGTGCAGTGAGGCTCGTGGTGGAGCTGCCTCCTCTCCTGGAGGAGACCCCCCTGGCAGCCTCCCAGCTGGCTCGGGGCTGGAGGGGTGACCCTGCTGAGAGGTGGATGAGGTTCATTCCCTTGGTGCTTTATACCTGCGGGGTGAAAAAGCTTCCAAGGGGCCAATCCTGACCCCTGTCGTTTTTCCTGGAGTCCCCTGAGGGTGCCAAATAGCTGGGGGGAAAAAATCTACTGACAAAGACACGTCACCTGAAACGAGAGAGCGGAGGAGAAACTCTTTGGCAGGATGAGGATAATTAAAAAAGCCAGTAAAGCCAAGCTGATTATATGGCATATTATAAAGCAATCCTGTACTTAGGAGCCCAGCTATAAAAGTGCTATCTCATCCCCTGATATCACCCCTGGGAGCGTTCGTGGCACCAGGGCCTGTCTCTCCTTGCTCTGCATATTGTGCAGTCCTTTGCAGCACTGTGAAAGGCTCTCAGCCCAGGCAAAGGCAGATTTGGCAGCAGGTCGTGGCTACTTCACAGGGCTCTGAAAGCCACCTGTGAGGTGTGAGCCCAGGGGTGTCCTCTGGGGTGTCCCCGGGGCGGAGGGACAGAGACTGTGACATGCAGGGTGGGTTCTCCCCAAAACAAACTGGGGGTGTTATCCCCTGTCTTTTTGGTGTTTTGCTCTGCAGATGAGGACGATGCCAACAGGCTGGGAGAGAAGGTGATTCTCCGAGAGCAAGTGAAAGAGCTGTTCAATGAGAAATACGGTGAGTCCCTGAGCAGGTTTGGTTTTGCTGACAGCAGCCGTAGTTAAAATTAATCCTCTATTAAGCCCCTATTTATAGGCTGAGCACACGGCAGCCTGCTGCAGCCCAGGTTTCCTCCCACTGCTTCCCCATCCCCGGGGACGTTCCCATGGCTCCTGCAGGTGGGACTGTGACCTTCCTGTCTACAGCTCATCCTTGGCGAGGGGAGGGAGGCTGGAAGGCTGGAGCAGAGGAGCAGG